ATGTGGCTGTACTTGGTGACCCTGGTGGCAATGTACCACCTTGTATGCTGGTACCGGGAGAGGCAGGTGGTGAGTCAGCTGCAGGACAAGTACGTCTTCATCACGGGCTGTGACTCGGGCTTTGGGAACCTGCTGGCCAAGCAGCTGGACCTGAGGGGCTTGAGGGTGCTGGCTGCGTGTCTGACTGAAAAGGGGGCTGAGTCACTGAGAGCACTGACTTCAGACAGGCTGGACACGGTGATCCTGGATGTCACCAAGACAGAGAGCATCACTGCGGCCACCCAGTGGGTGAAAGAGCACACGGGAGACAGAGGTACCATCAACTGCTGGGTCTGTGTCTGAAGCAGAGTCATGGACTGTGCTCCCTAACCGAATCCCAGGGGCTTTCAGGACTTGAGTCCCATGAGCATTTCTCACTCACCAGGCTCCCAGACTGAGTCTTTTCTTTTCTCTCTGTCCCCCCAACCCTGTGCTATGAGGTGCTGGAAAGAGTTTGCCCTGATGAAACTTGTTCCTCTGAAATTGTGCTGTGCCCTCTCTCAATGCGTTTTTTCATTTCTTTCTTCTGCTCCTCAGATACAATCAGATGCTTTTTCTTGCTAGTAGAGGGGAAACTCTGAAGCAATGCTCAGAGAGGTTCATACCCTGAAAATATCTGTCAATTTTTAGGGTATTGCTACTTTGGTACATGCCAGGACCAGTAAGACCACTGAGATGATTCTCAGAACCTTCTGGTGCCAGGACTCTGAGTTGAGCTCTCTGCTCCAGTTGAACTTCAGGTGCACACAGATTGGCCCTATCACTCTTAGCAATATGCCTCACTCCAAATCAGGGTGTTATTAAGGTAGTGAGAAAGCCTCTTAGGCATGGAGGTCTGTAGGCTTACTTAGGGTCACCCCTGAGTGTGCTTGCTGTTCTCAGCACTTACTCTATCTTGGTGGTGTCCCAATGTCCCAGTGTCCCACAGATGTCCCATCCCCACTTTCACCTGCCATCACTGAGCGTTCTGCACATTTCTGCATAAGATCAAACCCTCTTAGAGTTGTGTTGTCCTTAGCCAATCATGCTTTTCTTCCTCTACCTTCTTCATTTTTTCTTTGCTTAATTGACAGTTGTGGCTAACCCACAGCAGTCACATGAAATGCAGGGGAATTTTTATAAAGGACAGCCACAACTTTGGGGTGTGAGACCCAAAGGCTAAAGAACCCTCTGCCCTCCAGCCACTGACAGGAACTAAGCTTCCAGCCATGCAGGCATCCCAGTGGTTTCTCTTCTGCCAATTCCCCAGGGAAGTGCTCTGTGTCCTCCCAAAGGTAGGTCTGGAACCCCCATCTGTGGCCTTCCTCCAGGCACAGCACGCTGTAACTCTCCTATCCCCTATGTCTAGGTCTCTGGGGTCTGGTGAACAATGCTGGTATCTCAGTGCCCACGGCTCCCAATGAATGGTTGACCAAAGAGGACTTCATGAAGATACTGGATGTGAACCTGCTGGGGGTGATCGAGGTGACCCTGAACCTGCTCCCCTTGCTGAGGAAGGCCAAGGGCCGTTTGGTCAATGTCTCCAGTGTTGGGGGTCGGATTGCCCTGATAGGTGGTGGCTATTGTATCTCCAAGTTTGGCCTTGAGGCCTTCTCAGACACTCTCAGGTAAGAGCAGAGGAGACTGTCCTGTGAAGCTCCAGCTTCTGTGCCTCCAGGGAGCCTTCCCCAGGGGTCCTTCCATCACTTACTGGCATCCTCTTGATCCCTCTGAATTTCTGGCGATATGCGCTACGGGATATCCTTTTCTATGTTTTTGGGCATGTAAGTAGAACCCAGGCCTGTTAAGTCTGGTTCCACCTCCTTTCTTGGAGGAGGCCTCAGCACAAAGGGTCTGAAGAGGAGTGGAACTGGAACAGTTGAGCTATCGATTCCATGATATCACTTCCCTGCTCTTCACACTCAGGAAACTTTGACAAGGGCTTAGAATATTTGAGTGCAGAATAAATATTGCTGGGAATTTCTGAGAGTGCAACTAAGTGTGAGGACAAAGCTATTTATTCCCCAAACTGACATGCGAGAGTTGAGAAAGGGGCAGAGACGGAAGCGGTGTGCCTGCTTCTCAGGCTGTTGCAGAGGAAATCTACAGGACTCATACTTTTGTGCATGTTAGAAATAAGGAAACCATAGAGCCCTCTGTAAAACTTAAATTAAACTCCACAAAATTGTTGCAGGTTTTCTTCTGCACTTTGACTTTCTAAGATTGAGTTCCTCCCACCTCAACCTGGGAGGGTTATATGATTTATGTGAATTTTGTATTTTATTGTTTATTTTTTTTTTCTTCCAGAGCATTTAACTTTATCTCTTTACTGTGTGTTTGCAGGCGGGAGCTCTCCTTTTTTGGAGTTAAGGTGGCTGTGATCCAGCCTGGTTACTTCAAAACCCATCTGAGTAATTTAAAGAATGTTTCTCAAGGCGTCCAGAAAGCTTGGGATCAGGTCAGCGCAGAGGTCAAGGACATTTATGGAGAAAATTACAAGGCAGACAGTAAGTGGGCACTGGACTGCGGGGAGGGTCGAAAAATCAGTGTCTGAGAAATTTGAGTCCTTCTTTAGTGTTACCACATTCTAAGTCTATCCCAGACTCATTACAACTGGGGACATTTATAGCATTCACAAATCCAATAGTCTACACAAAGCAGGACAGAATCAGCCTATTTCTACCTCGTAACCACTATATCATCTGAAAACCATTATTTGAGAAAACTGAAGCAGAGAGTGACCACATCCCAGGGCTTATGGCAGTCTAGTTTTAGAGCCAATGGTTCAGGAACTTGATTTGTAGTGTTTGAGAAACCACTGGGTGTGGGAACTATGTCCTGATATACAGTCACAGTGTCCTCATGTTTCGGTACGTATTTGGGAAATTCTCAGATGAATTCCATGGAATCTATTTGAAACATAATTTTGAGAAGGTTGTCAATGCCATTCTTAGATATCTTCTGTAAATTCACTCAAAATCTGGAAAATTAGAGATGAATGGTTGTATTTCGATTTTTTTCCTTTCTATTCAGTCGTGAAAATGAGTAAAATAATGGAGTCATGTATGAATCCGAGACTGTCCTTGGCAACAGACTGCATGGAGCATGCCTTGATCTCCTGTCATCCTCGCACCCGATACTCAGCTGGTTGGGATGCCAAACTGTTTCTCATCCCCCTGAGCTACATGCCCACCTTTGTGATAGATTACTTTTTCAAATTGATCACATCAAGGCCTGCAAAGTCCCTCTGAGGGGTACAAAATAGGGTGGGGTTAAGTATTTCTGAGCAAAACAAAATATATTAGGGAATCAGAATGAAAAGAGATTCCATTTTGTCTTAACCCTTACCATATATGTCACTTTTCAATTTCTCTTGGATTTGTCATAGGATTTTTCCAGTATGCTGGAAAAATAATAGTACACGGGATACTAGGAACAAAGGTCCATGCTTTGTGGCTGAGGAAGAGGGATACACTAGCACACAACTATGACCTGTTGTGAGTATCTACTTCAGGTGTCCCAGAATATCATGCTCCTTCCCCCATTGTCCCTTGAGATACCATTGAGGAGCATTGATCAGGTTATAGGTCTTGAACCCTACCTACTTGGAAGTATATCACCTGGACATCAGTAAACATGATGGACATGTTCTTAGTTTTCATCTTCCCTCACAATTCAGCCTCACTTTGAGACAAAAAAAAATTGAAAAATAAAAAATACCTAGATATTCTCCTGGGACCTGGAGTATCGTGTTCCTTTTCTTTGCATCTGTCTTCAGTTTGCCCTGAGAGTTGAAACCTTGGAAACAAGATACGAAGGGTCATCCACTCTGGAATAGGCTTCCCTGGAAACCTCTCCCATACTTGGCATTACCCCTTCCTGGAGCACCCTGTGAACACCTTCAGGGGTCTGGTGGGAAAAGCTTCTTATCCTGGAAAACCTGGTGCACCCTCACACCTGTGGAATAAAATTTTGTCAGAAGTATATGCTTGAACATGATACTGTTTTTTGGAAAAGAAACTTCTTTGCATATTAAAATGCTGAATATGCTGAAAAAATAATAGTACAGTATATAAGGCACTTGCCTCACTTGTGGCCAATTTAGGTATGGTTCCTGGAACCCCTTCTGATCTTCCAAGACTTCCAAGAGTGATCCCTGAGAATGCGCCTGCCACAGAGGCAGTGGTGGGAGTGGGGGGAATGGGGTGGGGGTGGTGGGAGGGATACTTGGGAACATTGGTGGTGGAGAATGGGCACTGATGGAGGGATGGGTACTCTATCATTGTATGACTGAAATGTAAGCATGAAAGTTTGTAAATCTGTAACTGTACCTCACAGTGACTCATTAAAAAAATTAAATTAAAAAAATAAAAGAGTGATCCCTGAGTGCAGAGCCAGAAGTCAGCCTTGAGCACTGCTGGATGTGTCCCAAGAAGGAAAAAGAAGAATAAAAAAACTGCTAAGTAAATTCCCACAAAGTGTACAATATCAGTTTCTTTTTGAGGGTATTCTGATAAATAATAGATCAAAAGATGAGCCAAATCAAACTTCTATCACATTATATTCATTATTATCGTCTGTCAGGCATTGCCTTTTACACATCTAGAATATTTGCTACTTCATATCTGAAAGTGTAATGTAGTTTATTCATCAGTTTATACATGTTCCCTCTTTATAATGTAGCTCAAATGTAAAACTTCCCCCCTATTGAAGAGTCTCAATTTTTGCAATATGTAGACCTGAGTTTTTTTCAAATTGGGGAAGACACTACAAAGTATGGTTCATGTGATTGCTCTTTGGAGTGTCTTTGAGAAATCTCTAACACTGGTGGGCTTTTGATTGGTATGGGAATAATCACATTATGGGTGTGTGGCTTACAACTGCCAGTTTATTTTTCCAAGTCAACAGGGCCAAGGCAGGTGGAGGAAGAAGCACCACATATAACTCTCAATCAGTACCACAATTGGCATCCCAAAATGTCAGGCCTCAGTGACATTTTATACTTTTTTGGTTTCAAGTTCATGCTGTTTCGAGTTTCTTGATTGGTGCACTGTCCTTATAGGTAAGAGAAGATTTAAGTTTGGAAAAAAATTTTATTCTTCCTGCCCTGAGGCCTCCACCTGGACAACATGATACAGTTGAGGCAAAGGGCACTACCTTACTGAACAAGGAATTTTGCAATCACATTGTTTGTTTGTTTTACTTCTTTTTGGCGATGCACAGGGATTACTCCTGGCTCTGCACTCAGGAATTATCCCTGGCGTTGCTCAGGGGACCATATGGGATGCTGGGAAT